TTTATTTTTTTTTTATATAAATAGTTTTTAACACCTATGTATTTATAAATACAGAAATACTGTAAATTAAAAAGTTAATATTATTATAATGTAAATAAAACTTGAAGACATTCTCAAATATACAAATTTTAAAAATAAACTTATGTTAACTATTAACTAATAACAAGTTTTAACTTTTTGTGCAAAACGAATACCTTTTTTTAGCTTCTTATTTACTTTGACAAGAAAGGTTGATCACCACTGATTAATTTTGATTATTAAAACTAGTTATCTTGAACTATGTATTTGAAGCTTACCAGGTCTTAATAATTATCAAAAATTTTTTTTCTTAATGTGTAACATTTGAGGGTAAAAGGCATGTGAAAGCTAATCAAATTCAAGAATCCATCTGTAAATCATTCTAGAATGCGATTCCTAATTTGGTATATTTTTTGACTAATATTCAGAGTTTTTGTAATATTGACTCTGCTAATTCATATTATATAAATCTATTTTTTCTGATAAAATTTTCTAGACATAATTAAATCTCCTCAAAAATAACCAAGTATTGTCTAAGGTTGAATATAATGATGCAGAAAGATGTGTAATAGCCTTTTCTAATAGTTTAAGAACTAAGAGAGTATCCTATTATAATAAAATAATTATAATATAAAATTAAAAAAATCTAAACAATGTACCAGTATACTTTGTACATCTAAATGATTATCAATTTTGTATAACAAATAATTTATCAAAACAAAAATTAAAATTTTTTAATATTAAGTAAAACAGTATATAAAAATAAAAAAATGTATATATTATACATGCAACACAATTATGTATTATATTTTATAAGAACAGATGTAATGTGAGATCAAAACAATAAAAAAATAAACCAGTTTACTTTGTTTTAATTAGAGTTACTTTACAGATACTTGTAAAAAATTGATATTGGGTTTATAATTAGCAAATAATGTTCTTAAGATATAATTAAAATATTTTTTCAGAAAATTGAGTTATTATGGGTTTATAACTAGTAGTTATTATATTATAACAATGTTTTTCTAAAAAAACTTTATTATAATATTATGATTATTAGTTAATAACTAGTTAAAAACTAATTATTAACTAATTATTATAATGTTATAATAATGTTTTTTAAAAAACATTATTATAACATTATAATAACTAGTTAATAACTAGTTTTAACTAGTTAATAACTAGTTTTTAACTAGTTAATAACTAGTTAAAAACTAGTTATTAACTAATAATCATAATGTTATAATAAAGTTTTTTTTAGAAAAACATTATTATAATATAATAACTACTAGTTATAAACCCATAATAACTCAATTTTCTGAAAAAATATTTTAATTATATCTTAAAAACATTATTTACTAGTTATAAACCCAATATCAATTTTTTACAAGTTACTGTAAAGTAGTGCAAATTTAGTTTTAGATTAGTATGAGAATAGTTATATTAAAATTTTGCAAGGAATTTTTTTTTAGAACATGAAGAGCTGTTTTCTATACAAAATTTTGAGATATTGATAATTTTTCAAAAAATTACAGTTTTTTGTATTTTTTTTATTATACTTGATTCTGAAATTTGCTTGGTTGGGTGATAAATAAGAGTATCGCACTAGTGTGATATATAGATAAATCTTTTAGAAATTAGGATTAGACATAGTATATAGTAAAATTTTTTTACAAGAAAATTTTTTATAATTAAAATTTTGAGATATGATAGGTTTTTAAAAATTTTTTTGTTTTTATTGTACAAAATTGATATGCATAATTGTTTTTATTACATAAAATTAATTTATATGATATACTTAATTTTGTAATTTTATTAATCAATCTAAGGGTGCACAAAGTGCAGAGTGTCTTTTTAGTTTTTTTCCTTTATTTTTTTTATTTATTTATTTTTTTTGAACTAGCCTCTTTGACACGAAGGTTTTTATTCAAATATATCAAGTGAGAAGGTTCACAATAGAACCTCTATTATATTAGTGTATAACTAGCCATATATGCAACTTTTAAATGCCTATTTAAGTAGTCTGCATATTGGTATTATGCTATAAGGACTATACTATTTGGTATATTTATAACCTGACTAAGAGATTATCTATTTAAACTCTTTGTAATGCAACCCTCTTGTGTCAATGAAATATTTCTACTATATATGTTAGTTGAAAAGTTCTAAATGCTTACTGTAGCTTTAGAATTAATTTATCCTCGAGGCATCATTATTAGAGCTTTTTATACCTACAATCTGGCTAACCTAGTCTTCAATAATTTATGCTAAGTCTGAGAACAAATACTTGTGAACCAAAGTCACTACTATTATCTACTTTTGCTCTTGTAGAGTTCACTCAAACCCCAGTATCTACTATATAGACTATTACTAGTATCTAAGTTCTATCAGTAATCTAAACTTCCAATTCAGATTTTCCAGAGTGGCTGTGACCTGCTCTTGATCCCCATATTCCTTCTGGTGTCAATATTGATAGCTCTCAAAATTCTTAAAAAGCTTAATAAGACCATTATTAATAGTTCAACCAGGTAATAATACACTTACTAATATTGTAAGTTGATTCATTAAACAATTATAATTAGTGAAGTTCTTACAATTTTATGTTATTAGAATAGTACTTCTGTAATTATTACTAAAGCTTAAAATTCAATTAACATTATATCAAATATTCACAGATTCTGAACAATGTCAAAAATATGTTCAAATTTGTTTCTATATTATGGATAATTGTCTAATTGACTTAACTTCTGTTAATGGCCAAAACAAATTACTTCTGGCACTTTATACTTTGATACGATAGTACGATCCAACATATTTAATAAATCACATTGATTTTGTCATATTTATATAACAGGTTTCTCAAACATCAAAGATTTTCTAATAAAGAATCTTAAATAATTTAAGGCAATATGAATCAACCTGTTACATTGGTGAGGAATGTAGCTTATACATATTTATGTAGCATCTTTCATTATACAGAAGAAATTTCTAGAAAATGAAATATTTTATCTAACATTGTATATATGTACAGTATAATATGTATGTCGATTTTTATATTGCTATTACTATAGTTATTCCTATTGTTATATATTTTTTGTATATGTATATAATAAAAAAGCTTTTTTCTTATCTAGATTATGATTATGATTATTTTTTTTAACATGTCTTAAGCAACAGTATTGAAATTGACCCATTTGAACCATCGTTATTAACCTACTAAAAAAACAGTACATCATTATTGACTATTAAAAAAAATAAAATAAAAAATAAAAAATCTTTGTTGCATTGCAATATAATATTGTTATACATGTCATATGAGGATTCAATTAATACTTCAAAGAGGGTAAAGACTTATTTATTTACAAGTTAGTTGTTTATTTTTCTTATTTTTTTTCTATTGAACCATATAAACAACTTTTTATATTTAACCTTTATTGTTATCTAAATAAATTTTTTCTCGAACAAGCTTTTACAAACTCTTGTCTTTTCAACTAGTTTGTTTACAAATTTTTTTTTCAAAGATAGCCAGTATATTTACTCAAAGCGCTATAACTTTATAAATAATATTATAATATATATATGATAAATTATAATTTTTATAACTTAGATTTAATATCTTAAAAATTCAGAAACAACTTTGTTACTAAACATGTTATAAATTGTAACAAAATTGTAGCAATAATTAATTGATATTATTAAAGTTATTATATTTATATAAATATGATTTTTATACAACTTTGTTACTAAATATGTTATAAATTGTAACAAAATTGTAGCAATATTTAATTGATATTATTAAAGATATTATATTTATATAAATACAATTTTTATACAATTTTGCTACGATTTAGATACGGCATTAAAATAAAATTTTATTTACATATTAATAAAATAAATCATGACAATATTATAACAATTATGTAACTAATTTGTAACAACTTCATGACAATTTTGTTACAAAATACAAGGTTTCTGTAAAGTAATTTAAAATTAAGACAGTTATTTGAACTTTTGCATGATGAAAATGATAGGTATCGCTTATTGCTAATTTGCTGCAACGCCATTTTTAAGTTTTTTTTCACTTGGGCAATGCATAAGCATAATAATAAATATTTAATCTTTTAAGCATTTGCTTTATAAACAATACAGTCATAATATGCAATTTGCATATATATGTTACAGGTATACTTGCTGGCAAAACTCATGGGATTTGGAATTTGTTCATGGACAAACCTGAACAAATGGAATTGTCCGATCATACTTGAAAATTCTATATGGACAAATCCCAAATCCCATCCCAAATCCCAAATCCCATCCCAAATCCCAAATCCCAAATCCTAAATCCCAAATCCCAAATCCCAAATCCCAAATCCCAAATCCCAAATTCCAAAATTTTATTTTAAATAGCAATCGATTTTTAATAGCTGCCCTACTTTGTTTAATATGTCAAAAGTGCGTCAGAGGTACGTCAAGTATAACTTGAGTTTGCATAAGGAGAACATTTTCCTGCTTTGCTAATACAATATATAATCTTTATATCCGCAATGCTCTCATACAAATTCAAGTTACACTCGATGTACCCTAATGCACTTTCGACACATTAAGCAAAGGGGGCAGCTGTTAAAAAAAATATCAATTCTCCCTGTGATAGCGATAGTCATGCAATTTCTACAAATCTGTCAAATTAGATTGATAAAAAATAACAAATTTGTAAATAAAGCTTTAGATTAGCATTAGATAAAAAAAACAAATATGCTGTAATGCTTAAGATTGCATTGATATGCTGTATCATTATATAAAAATGTTGTTCACTTTATTCTTTGAAAATTAAGTTTTTTTTTTTAGTGTTCTTAACTATTAATCCTGCTATATAGTATTTCGGACTTTTTTTTTTATAATATACAAACACCCATTTAAACCAAATTTTTACTATCGTTTTTTTTTCTTCTATTTTTTAATTTTGCTAAAATGCAATATGTGACAAATAATGAAAATACAACAAGTAATGAACATACAGTAAATAATGAACATACAGTAAATAATGAACATACAGGAAATAATGAACATACAGTAAATAATGAATATATAGCAAATAATGAATATACAGCAAATAACGAATACACAGCAATTAATGAATACACAGCAAATCATGATTTTATTGATTTGGTTAGTGAAACTGGATCATCATCTGCACAATCTGAGTCATCAAATAATAGTGGACGGCCCTTAACAGATATATGGGAAGAGTATGATAAAATAAATAATGAAGCGGGAAAACACAAAGGAGCAAGTTGTAGATATTGTCCTCTGAAGTGAACTCATGGAAGAGCTTACGATATGAAATCGCATCTTGCATTAAAGTGCAATGGAAAAGTACCTAGAGAAATCCGATTTAAGATACTTCGGGAGCTTCAAAGTGAGCCTACATCGTCCGAATTAGCTACTTCTAAAAAAAGAAAATCGGTATATTCTCAGTTGCCCATAGATGCCTATTATAATGCAAAAGAAGCTATAGACAAAGCTAAAGAAACAAGAGCGAATCAATCGCTGATTAAATGGATTGTGAGCTCTGGTATTTCATTTTCTGCCTTTGACAATCCTTACTTTGAAGATTACACAAAGGAATTAAATCCCGGTTATAGTCCCCCTAAGCGTACCGCCTTATCAACATGAATTTTAGATACGGAAGCAGCGAATATCATAATAAAAATAGAACAGGAGTTATCAAAGACTAAGAATCTAACTTTATGCATAGATGGTTGGTGCAACCTATTGAAACATAGCATATATACTTTTGTTATAATAACAAGTGAAAGAAAACAGTACGTTTACTCTTTACGAGATTTTTCAAAATTTACCCATACTTCAAAGTTTAATGCTGAGAAAATACTGGAGGTATTAGAGAGGATCGGACCAGAAAAATTTATAGCAATAGTTTCTGATGCTGAATCATCGATAATGGCAGCCAAACGACAAGTCGCACAAAAATATCCATATATCTTACCCATAAGATGCATTGCGCATCATATTCAACTAATCTCTAGCAGCATATGTAAGCTACCTCATGCGAAGAAAATCTTATCTAATTGCCAAACAATTATAAGCTTCTTTAGGAATTCCTATACTGCCGGTGCTGCTCTTAGAGAAGAAATTATAATTTCCCTTACTCTTGGTAGAAATTTGAAGTCACCAACTAAGACTCGGTGGTCGACGACATGGGATTCCTGTAAATCCATCTTACGTAATGAAGCAAACGTTAAATCAGTAAAGTTTTATAATTCTGTTCTTATACTGTAATATCCCGAGCTGTTGGGTATAAGTGGAAATGAAGTTTTTACTTATAACAACAGCAGGGTGCAGTACAAAATTTCCGGATTTTACACAAAAATAATCTCAAATTTCAATTATGAAATGGATTTTAACAAAAAACATTCCTTGCAAAATTTGGTATAAACTATATCATCCCAATCCAAAACCACCCTTACTCTAAGGGCTTAATATAAAATCTGAAAATTTTGAACTGCATCCTGCTGTTGTCTTTTTACTTATACGTACACATACGGATCATATACCCATGATCTTTATATAGTAAGGGTATTTAATATAAAATCATTCTTTATTATATTAATTTGTTAATAGGTTTTAGAACAACAACCACAAATTTTCATTCGTGCAAATGCTGTAAAAAGTCTGATTAATGATCGTCAATTTTGGATTGATGTTGAGCAACTTAGGAATATTCTCAGGCCAGTAAAACGAGCCATAAAAAACTTGGAGCTTCGTACCACCATATTAGCTGACATATTCGTTGAGCTCGTAAAAATGGCAATCGCAATCCAGGAAACTTCTGCCTTATATAATAGCCAATTTTGGCGTGATTGCATCGCTATATATAATAAGCGATGGAAAGAATTTGACTTTGAATTGTACCTTTTATCTTTTTTTTTGCACTCAACTTACCGTGGTATTTAGAAGTCAATATGTATAGTTCACTTTATTTTTTTTATTTTTTTTTATTTTTTTATTTTTATTTTTTATAACAGGCAATTTTCTTGAAGTTGGAATATATAAAAATTATGTTCTTAGAAAGGCAATAGAAATATGGAAGCAAATAGGTAGAGGCGATATAAGTGCTGGAATTTTGAAATCTCAAATGAATTTGTACAAAAATCGCAAGGTTCCCTTTGAAGAAGAATTTATTCTATCTACTGATATGGTTACGGATTGGTGGCTGACTGTAGAACTTAAAAGAAATAAAGATCATTTAAAAACCCTCACCCTAAAAGTACATTCAATTTTACCCCACAATGCTGCCTGTGAGCGAGTCTTCAGCATATTAAGCAGGTATCTAGGAAAGAGACGGACTAAGTGTGTTAATTTTTTTCTCTTTTTATTGTATTTTTTTTCATTACTAAAATGCTATTGTTTTTTATTTATTTGTTTTTATTTAGATTAACCATTGAACGTCTAGAGATTATGGCCCAGATGCATTCATTTTTAGTCGAGAATGCCAAATCAGAACTCAATTACGTGGATCAAAAGCTTCGCCAAGAAGACCTGTTGTCTATTTTCGATAGAATTGCGAGTTCTATAGAGGATGGGACCGATTTATTCAGTGAAGAAGAAACATTTTCTTTTTTGAATGAGCTTGCAGAGGAAATTACGGAAGAAGATGAGGACGAATTAGAAGATATAGTCAACGAAAATTCAACAAACTTAGAAGTCAGAAATTTAATCTCTTTGTCTTCCAAGTTAAAACTTAATAAATCTTCAAGTTTAAACAAAGAGGTTATACATGGAAATAAGGATTTTGATATCGATGATCTTATTAGTGATTAGATTAATCATTACATAATTCATGTCAAGAAAATGTATATAAGAAAGCACTTACAGATTTAATCACTAGAAATTAAACAAATAATGCATCTATGTTAAGAAGTGCAACTTATCTTGTGATGGAAAAAGGGCTTGCAGAATTAAATGATTCATTAAAAATAATAATGCATTATCGGAGCAACAACTTTATTTTTAATAGGCCGTACTATTTCAGTTATTCTTCATACGTATAATGAATTTATTACTGCCCAGTAAGTATTCGCATTTTTTTTTAATTGAATTATCGTAGGGAGAAAATATCGGTTGACTTGTCTGACCAATTTTATTAACCCGCAAATTATTATTTTGACCATCCACAAGTAATCTTCTTGTCTTTAGATATACCAGTTATTATATATTTTAATTTACCTTGGCCAGTAACTATACCCGACGATTAATAACATTTTCCAAGTTATAACTTCTAAATTAGTAACGGCACCCTTTCCGTATATATGTTCAATATTGATTCAGCATACACTGATGAATTAGTTTAGGTGGGTCAATAAAAATAAAAATGCTTTCGTTTATTTTGTTGATTACTATATATTGCATTAATCCTTAAATACTTTTTTACGTAGGATAAAATCAAATAAAAATTTTATCTACAAATAGTAACTGTTACCCGCATTACCCACACGATTCTCAACACTTCATTTTAAGAAAAAAAAAAAAGCTAGAATAGCAAATGAAACTGTATATTTTTACCAAAAAATTTCAAGCGCTTTATTCTATTTTATACTAAACCCAAATTTGTATATATTTATTCCTGATAAAAGCTCTGATAACGCCTTTCTATATCAATATACGCAATCTTCGTGAATGAAAATTACGCCAAAATGAAGGTATGACACCCTCGCAAATTAGTGCGCATTTCCGAAATTCGTGTGATTTTGGACCAGTTAAAAACATTACTGTGAATAAGATTCTTCGAATCTTGAAGTTTAACGGTATGCATTCGGGGTTGTTTTTTTAATAATAATAAAGGAAAGAAAGTTTGATGATCGACTTACACTGCTGAATTATTTAAGGTCTAGCACCCGAAGTTCCTGAAGATCTTTATCATTTGATCAAGAAAGCGGCTGTCATTCATAAGCACTTGGAGTGTAATCGTAGTGACAAGGACTCTAAATTCCGGTTAATTTTGATTGAATCAAGAATTCACCGTCTTGCCAGATTCTATAAAACAACAGGACAGCTTTCTCCAGACTGGAAATAGTATCCTTTAAACATATTCTTTATATTTACCTGGGATTTTGTCTTTCAGTTATACTACGTGTAATATACTTTATTGTTTAGTAATACATCACCGGAGAATAACTGAGGCAAATTACAGATCTATCGATAAAGGTTTAACGGTTAATGTAAAGATTTAATTCCTAGGGAATTCAGATCTCTACATTTATTACCATAGTTTGTCATGTAACCACTTCCGTCCCTTCTACTTTTCGTTGTTAATAGGTTTTCTTTTTTACTAAATAAGTATTAACATACCAGGGAGGTTTACATGGCAAATTACAGTATAACAACTATATTATCCTTAATTCTTTTATAGCGAATGCTATATGATCACATTTAAGTTCAATCAATGCTAATGTACGAGGAATATGCTTTTTTTTACTTGAATAAAAATTGATAGAGAAATTTTTATTGAGGCAAGGCAGCACAGTGTGGTAAGCCTATACATGTTGGCAAAATCCCGACTTACTATAGTTTGGGATTTGTCCGTCATCCCAAATCCCAAATTCTAGTATAACTAATATCTCAAAAACTTTATTAATAATCTTTATTTAAACAAATTATATATATCCTTATAGTTATAAATAATATATTTACAAAATATTAAGATTATTTATTTGATTTAATCTTTTATAAATAGCAATTGTTTTTTTATTATTTGGAATTTGTCCGGGTTTTGCCAGCAAGTATAGGTAAGCCTGATGCAAATACTTGTAAGCCTTTATCGGTTATTTGAAACTGCAAAACAGAATGTCGACAAATTTTTAATTCCTTTCAAACAATACTTGATAGGATGTACTGTTTTATTTTCGTAACTTAAAATAAATGCTAGAAAGGTTAAATTACATTGAGAATTACTACCATTCTGTCCATAAAAGCGCCTTTTTTTATAGTACCCAATCAATAAATCCACATTTCTTGTTCGCAGTATAAGTGAATTTCACGAAGCTTTTTTTTTTAAAAAAAAAAAAAAAAAAAAAGCGATGTTACGGCGAAACTGGTTTCGATTGATATAATAAAGCAAAACTGTAAATTTATTTTTTATTTATAATGACGATACATTCGAATTCAAATTTACATCAACTTTATAACGAACTGGAGAGTTTGAAAAAAGAAGTTTTTGATTAATACTTTCCATACTTAACTGATATAAAATTTAAATCTTTACTGCTTGTGATCAAGACGTTCATTTCACAGAACCGACTATAGTATATACCCGTAAATTCTTGAAATAGCGGGCATGGATGTTATTTCAAAAATCATACCCCTTAAAATTGGCATAGTTAGTTTCGAAATAACGCCCATGCGCGTCCCGAAATAGCACACACCTCAAATGAATAAGTATTGGAGTAAACAACATGCTGTATCGATAATATATCGAATCTCTAGCAGTAAATCAGTTCAGTAATAAATTTATTTGACAATTGGGATTTGGGATTTGGGATTTGGGATTTGGGATTTGGGATTTGGGATTTGGGATTTGGGATTTGGGATTTGGGATTTGGGATTTGGGATTTGGGATTTGGGATTTGGGATTTGGG